TGTGGACTCCTCAGCAGTGCACATCCTTGAACAAGTCACGCGAGATTCGATTTCGTACATGCTTAGAGGTGGTACTGTATATTAGGGTAAAGCCTGATGAGAATCTAATCGAAAACAATATTGTTTACTTATACAATATGGGAATTTTTCAAATTTTCCTAATTTAAATTCACTTGGTGTTGTTTTACTTTCATCGTCCCATTGCACAAGCTAGTGCCTATCAGGACTCAGTAGCCAAGTGGATAACGCGATGGCGTTTGAGGCGAACGGTACTGGGTTCGAGTCCCCTAATGAGCGTCACCTCAGATGCAGGTATATCCAGCTGACGAGACACAAGTAGAAGGAAGCACGTGCCAAACTGTGTTCTACTGCTAGCCACTATCGATCTTTTTCCTATTTTGTTGTTTTTGGTGCAGTTTCATAATCTAGGCTGTGTGATTTGATCAATGACGTTCTCTTATCATCCTTCTGGACAAACTATCAGCATAAACTTCAGACAGAAGTAAATAGTCGAATTCCTTCACATATGACTGACAGGCTAACCTGACAGAAAAGCTGTTCTGTCAAATCAATCGAGAGAATGAAACTCCACGAAAATCCTCTACCTGAGCCATAAATCTCTTATTCTAGTGTATGTTTCCTGTCAGCTCTAATTGCGAATTACTTTCATCATAATCTTAAGCGAAATATTTGTTTTCATGTGACATATATGCATTCAGTATATATCACTACTCTGATATTATTAACTCCATCATATGGATAAGTTTGAGTCGGTAACTGTGATCGTAGTGTCTAGTGAGGAAACCTTTGAAAAAGAATCTATGTTGTTGTAGGGCCAGTGAAATGTCACTGAACCCTAACCAATACATCCGGCAGTTGGGTCAAGTAATTGATCCCTGTCAAAGTAAAGGACAGTCAACGGACATCACTTAATCTTATACCATGCTGACTGTGAGGTCTGACTTTGAAGGTAGCTGGTTTGTTACACCGATCTCGTCTAACTCGAGTAGGCCATCAATCATTCGACATAGATCATCTACGTTGACGATCTAAATTGTTATCTTTCCAAGATCAATGAAGTCATCATTCAGACTCGTAACTTTCGATGAATAATTGTATCTATGATTACTTAGTTCCACATACAAAACATTAGTATCTAAATGTCTGAATCCTTTTCATAAACTATCGATTTGGGATCAGAAACATTACTCATTTGAAAATCCTCACTGAGTGATATGCAATAAGTTAACTTACTCAGAAACCGGAGTCTTTATTAAACAAATTGACTTTAATGAAAATTATATAGACTTGTGGAGTTTTAGAGTGATTTTCAACAGGACACCGAAACTTTCATGTTAAAGAAGCAGTTTTAAATATGACTATATTCTATCTGTCCATTATTAGCCATTCTAGGATGGTGATGGTTAAAGATAATCGACAAGAAACCCTATACTTAGTTTTCGTGCTACTTGGCATCCGTCAGTAAGGTGTACTTATAATCTTTAGGGAATGGATTCTCCCTAGCATATACTATCATATGTAACCTTGTTTCATAGTTAGAAACGTTACCACTGAATTATCCGAGTAGCGGCTAACATCATATTGGACTAAGATGTGTTTACAATTGATTAATCAAGTAGCTTTCGTTGCCAAGACCATCAATAATGTTGATGTTTATCAGTATTGATCTAGAGTTAAGTAATTTAAAGGAATTCTAGTCAACTCGAAGAATTTTTTTACTCATTTATTAGACGGTTGATGTTACAAATCTGCTCCTGTTGAGGGGTTCCATAATAGGACGAAACGGTAGTCCAGTGCTTCCAGGTATTCCATGGTGATCTCAACTATTAAATAAATTTATTTCGATATTTATTTGATTATAGATTAGCATACTATCATGCTTAATGTTAGATTATGTATGTATTTAGTTTAAGCTTAAAAGAAAATAACGCTTACTATAAACTAACTAACTATAGCCTTTACATACAGAGGATAATATTGATTTATAAAACATCTGAACTTATTACATAGTTCGATGTATACATGAAGAAATCACGTACCTTTTAGTTACATCTTTTGTAATTGTACTATCTTCATATAACTCCGCCAGGAGCCCTTCTGGGGCTACTGCCGGTTCAAAGCCCGGATAAAAGACGAGGATCGGGCATGGAGTTAACGACACCATCCGATAGAAAACCAACTCGCTAAAAAAACGCTAACCAGGAAAAATTATTCAAACCACTTGAACTCTGCTGTGGGAGTTAGAAGGTTTTCATTCAGAAGAGTTATGATGCCTCATGGTGACAGCCAAGTTCCTTCGGATGTCACGAGGCTGATGACTCTTCTGACAACCAGAGCAACCATTAACTTAGGTACATGAAATGTTCGTACAATGTGGGAGACCTGGAGAGTCATCTAAATTGCTGCAGAAATGAAAAGATACAACCTGGAGTTGCTTGAAATCAGTGAAACACATTGGACGCAAGTTGGACAAAAAATACTAGTTCAGGGGACCTGCTGTTATATTCTGTCCATAAAGAAGAAAATGCTCCACACACACAAGGAGTTGCACTGATACTATCATCATATACCATGTAGTGTAAAGCATCAAATTCATTGTTAACAAGAATCGTAGGATTAGTAATCAAATTGTAGCGGTAAATAAATCTCCAGAATAAATAATTCTGAAAGTCCTCGATATTTGATGCTGACCACATTATTTCCAATAGACAGATCTAGCTGGAGGCGCTCGATCACACATCCAAACCAGATCACAAGTGGGTACGTTGTGCTCAACTTCTCCTACACCCGCTCAGCAGTTTAGATCCATCACTTCTCAATATATTGATAACTTATCAGGGCTGCATTCCTACAAGTGAAGAACATATGGAACTCAAAACAACTGTCAACCAATATAAAAGTCACGATCTTCAATACGAACATCAAGACAGTTCTACTGTACGGAGCTGAAACTTGGAGAACTTCCACAAACATCATTGAGAAGGTACAAGTATTTATAAATAGTTGTCTACGCAAGATACTCATCAGGAACAGCCTACTGTGGGAGAGAACGAACCGGCTTCCAGCTGAACAGGAAATAAGGAAAAGACGATGGAAATGAATGAGACACATATTATGGAAATCATCAAACTGCATGACAAGGCAAGCCCTACCTTGGAATCCTGAAGGGAAACGTGTAAAAGGAAGGCCAAAGAACACATTACGTCGGGAAACATAAGCAGATATGAAAAGGATGAATAGCGACTGGAAAGAACTGTAAAAGATTGCTCAGGATAGGATTAGATAGAGAGTGCTGGTGGGCGGCGTATGCTCCTGCACGAGGAGTAACAGGCGTAAGTAAGTAGGTAAGTAAGCATCAGATATATCTTCGAACCTCTCCACTTCTGACTTCTGATTTCATTGGGTTGGCACGTTTCGATTATAGAAGTTGTTATTGCTTAAAGTGTTGTTAAAATCAAATCCTTGCGGCATCTTCAATTTCTTTTCAAATAGCTTCCATATATTTTCGCCTATATTCTTTCTATCATCAACAGTAATGTCTTTTTACTGGTTAGTTTAATTTCCTTCCGAAATGCCCTGGTACGGCCGAGAGTGAGGAGAGTCAGCTGTCTCTCACGAAATGCTCTCGCATGGCCACGTACATACAACCATTACCAGGAAAGTCCTATTCACTGCCTTCTCGAGGCCGCGGTGTTGTTTACGAAATTGAGAGGACGAAAAGCGAATGACTGGCGCTTTAACCAGGTTGCTGATCACGGAAAGTCCACCTAGGGGAGTTGGAAAACCCTCATTCCAAACCAAAGGTGTACTTGGGCTCCAGGATCCTAAGAAAACAAATGGCGTATGAGCCTATTGTTGATGACCGGCTACCATGTGATTGTATCTCCTCACGTTGCTCACTACCTTGTGGACTAGACCTTTAGGTCCAAGACTCTAGATGTGTCGCCCCAAGAAAACCATCTGATTCGGTTTGGAAACTGGGACAGTATCACAGCCCTCACAAAAATTAAATGAGTTATGTGTTTAAATAAATAAATACATAATAATAACACTGTTTCTCGTTAAATTGTCTTCAGTTTGTCTTCGCTTCATTTTGTTTTGTCATCTCTTTTTCTCAACTAATCCCCTTATGAAATATAGTTTAGTTTAAATCGATTACTTACTTACTCCTGTTACTCCCAAAAGAGCGTAGGCCGCCAACAAGCATTTTCCAAACCACTCTGTCCTGGGCCATCCTTTCTAGTTCCATCCAATCGTTGTTCACCCCTCTCATGTCTGTCTACGTTTCTCGGTCTTCCTTTTCTCCTTTGACTTTGAGGATTCCATGTGAGGGCTTACTTTATGATATAATCGAGTGCTTTCCTCAATGTGTGCTCTATACACTTCCAACACTTCTGTCTGATTTCTTACTCCTCTGCAATCTAACTTGTTCTCTCCCATAGTAGGTTGTTGCTAATAAGTGTCTGACCAACCAACGGATCCGAAGTATTTCCCCTAGACAACTGTTAATAATTACTTGTATCTTCTGGATGATGGGTTTCGTAGTTCTCCATGATTTCCACCCCATATATTAGAAGTGTTTTGACATTCGTATTGAAAATTCTGACTTTAGTGTTGGTCGACAGACAGTTGTTTTGAGTTCCAGATATTCTTCAGTTGTAGATGTGCTGCTGTTGTTTTGCTTATTCACACTATTTACATGTGTATCACATCTACCGTGTTCATCAATGACGCTGTCCAGATATGTAAAGGTTTTTACATCCTCCAAAGCTTCTCCGTCAAGGTGTGATTCGATCGGTGCATGTCGTGTTGTATCGGAGAATTTCGCTTTTCCATTTATGTATGTTGAGATCTACTGCTGTTGAGGCTGCTGCAGCTACACTGGTCATCTTCTTTTTCATTTGTTGTCGTGTGTGCGATAGAAGAGCCAGATCATCTGCGAAGTTTGATAAGTATATCTTAAAAAAACATTCATTTGATTACATCATCATCATCATCATCATCATCATCATCATCATCATCATCATCATCATCATCATCATCATCATCATCATCATCATCATCATCATCATCATCATCATCATCATCATCATCATCATCATCATCATCATCATCATCATCATCATCATCATCATCATCATCATCATCATCATCATCATCATCATCATCATCATCATCATCATCATCATCATCATCATCATCATCATCATCATCATCATCATCATCATCATCATCATCATCATCATCATCATCATCATCATCATCATCATCATCATCATCATCATCATCATCATCATCATCATCATCATCATCATCATCATCATCATCATCATCATCATCATCATCATCATCATCATCATCATCATCATCATCATCATCATCATCATCATCATCATCATCATCATCATCATCATCATCATCATCATCATCATCATCATCATCATCATCATCATCATCATCATCATCATCATCATCATCATCATCATCATCATCATCATCATCATCATCATCATCATCATCATCATCATCATCATCATCATCATCATCATCATCATCATCATCATCATCATCATCATCATCATCATCATCATCATCATCATCATCATCATCATCATCATCATCATCATCATCATCATCATCATCATCATCATCATCATCATCATCATCATCATCATCATCATCATCATCATCATCATCATCATCATCATCATCATCATCATCATCATCATCATCATCATCATCATCATCATCATCATCATCATCATCATCATCATCATCATCATCATCATCATCATCATCATCATCATCATCATCATCATCATCATCATCATCATCATCATCATCATCATCATCATCATCATCATCATCATCATCATCATCATCATCATCATCATCATCATCATCATCATCATCATCATCATCATCATCATCATCATCATCATCATCATCATCATCATCATCATCATCATCATCATCATCATCATCATCATCATCATCATCATCATCATCATCATCATCATCATCATCATCATCATCATCATCATCATCATCATCATCATCATCATCATCATCATCATCATCATCATCATCATCATCATCATCATCATCATCATCATCATCATCATCATCATCATCATCATCATCATCATCATCATCATCATCATCATCATCATCATCATCATCATCATCATCATCATCATCATCATCATCATCATCATCATCATCATCATCATCATCATCATCATCATCATCATCATCATCATCATCATCATCATCATCATCATCATCATCATCATCATCATCATCATCATCATCATCATCATCATCATCATCATCATCATCATCATCATCATCATCATCATCATCATCATCATCATCATCATCATCATCATCATCATCATCATCATCATCATCATCATCATCATCATCATCATCATCATCATCATCATCATCATCATCATCATCATCATCATCATCATCATCATCATCATCATCATCATCATCATCATCATCATCATCATCATCATCATCATCATCATCATCATCATCATCATCATCATCATCATCATCATCACATCTCATCATCATCATCATCATCATCATCATCATCATCATCATCATCATCATCATCATCATCATCATCATCATCATCATCATCATCATCATCATCATCATCATCATCATCATCATCATCATCATCATCTCATCATCATCATCATCATCATCATCATCATCATCATCATCATCATCATCATCATCATAGATCTTCTTTGATAAACATAAACTATTTCATTGTAATAATATAACTATATCCATCATATTATAATCATTAACTTTGTACCTCAATATTGTGTATATTATCAACATTGGTCCAATTGTTTGTCAGCACAACTCTTAAACAATCATTCAATGTTCTAAAGAATTCATCTCATCTATTGATTGTAGCACAGTACAAAGATTATTTCACTTCATTCCAATTGTAAATCAACATTCATTCTTTAAATAGTTTAAACTATTCTCTATATAGTTTAAATACTTGTTGAAATAACTAACAGTAATCATATTATTATTAGTATTAGTAGTATTATTAGTAGTATTGCGAATACCATTGAAAAGTGTTAATGAAGAATTATTTGATTCGTTCAATGAAATGTAAGTGAATAGTATTGATTTAATAGAAAGAATTATATGAATTCAATTCATTTGATATTATTGTTTATTTGTATCTTCTCATTGATATTTACGACTGCAATTGATCAATCTCTTTCTTGCTGGTACATAGGTGCATCTTGTCTCTATATTGTCTGAAGTCACAAGCATTATAAGCAAAGATAGTTAATGACTAGCAATGGGATCCAGTTTAACAAGCGTTTCGTCCTGCTTTGATACTCGTCAAATGGATGCACCTGCATCTGAGTGTTGATGTTCACTCTGAGACTCGAACCCGCTGCCGTTCGATTCAAACGCCATTGTATTATCCACTTAGCTACTGAGTGTTAATAGGTACAGGGTTGTGTGATGAGGTGACGTTTAATTCACTTGTTATTGTTTACTTGAATTTTCCCATTGATGTTTAAGACTGCAATTGATAAATCTCTTATTGGTATATATGCATCCTGTGAGTATTGCATGGATATCGCCTTAATTCACAAGATTTATAAGCAAAGATGAATAGTGGTTAACAATGAAATCCAGTTTGACACACGTTTCGTCCTATTTGGTACTCGTCAACTGGATGTACCTGAATCCAGAGTTGATGTTCGCTATCCATCTCTGCCTATAAAATTACTAAATTAATTTCAGAGTTTTACTTTCATATTTAATAAAAATTATATTTTAATTGTTGAATTCACGAATCAATTGAAGATAGATCACCATAGAAAATCTGGAAACACTAGACAGCCATTTCGTCATACTATGGGACTCTTCAGCAGTGCGTATCCACGACGCTTCCTGCGAGACTCTAACCCAGGGCCTATCAATCTCGCATGCAAGCGCTTAACCCTTAGACTACCGAGCCGGTATTCAACGGTGTTAATATCTAAATTTGAATCTCGCGAGGTGGAATCTTGGATACGCACTGCTGAGGAGCCGGACAACAGGACGAAACAACCTTCCAATACTTCCAGGTTTTCCATGATGGACTAGCTTCAACTGATTCATGAATTCAACCATTAAAATTGCTATAATATCCTTTCACTTATTAGAAAACAATGATCTTCTTTTCACTTTAGTTAAACAACATCTAGAAAGTGATCTAACACAATCGAATAGTAAACAAGTAGGTTATTGATGCATTTGTTTATTTAATTACATAACAATAACATAATATATTTAGATAATCATGGAACCAATTCAACGAATATCTGGTATCCTATTTTATATTAAGGTAATCTAATCCATAAATGATACTTCGTTTGAAAGGCTAGTGGTATAACTTTGATGCAATTAATCATTATATGGGCAATGAATACTACTGTAATGTTAGTGTGAGTTTATTTTATTCATTGAAACAATACATACTACTTATTATTCAGTCATACATTCAAGGGATGGTTACAATCTACAAACTGGTTTGTTGGATTGTTTTTGTAAGTTATTATTAGTATACTACTTTATCTGAAGTTTTCTTGTTGTTGTGGTAAATGTGTGTATATATGTAAATGATTAAAAAATTGAAGGAAAATTGGGCGAGACGCTAATTTATGGACGAGCCAATCAGAGGCGTTTTAGAGATTTCAAGTTACGGCGCAAACTTCAGTCTTTAAGGTTAACGTACGATCGGTTCATAGGGAATTTTGTACAAAGCGTGATTATCGAGCAGCTATAGCAAATAAAACGGCGAGATTATAATTTGTGGACGAAACAATCAAGTATAAGATAATAGATCTCGGATTTTGACGTGAAAGCCTTTCATCCATTTGGCTAAACAGAGTTTTGGCTTTATAGCTGATGTCAGCTCCTGATGGAAACCCTATATATGATTGCTAACTAGGGCAAATTATGACATTTATTGCGAACTGGATAATAAAAGCACCCGTAACACTGGCTGCAGCGAGGTACTACAATATATACGGATGTTTGGAGAGCGTACAGACTCCTAAATAGGCTTGGTTGTGTGCATCGTTTCGTTATCCACAAGTAGCATTTTGTGCACTCAACAACCGGAGTGCACATAAACAATATTGAAGCTATGTGGTCGGGACTAAAAGAGTTTTTGCTGCCAAAGACCGACTGTTATGTAGCCATATGGATGATTTCCTCTACTGTATTCATTATGATTTTATAACCTCTGAACCTATTTCTATCCTTGGCAAGTTTTGAACCACGTATAAGAAGTGTATCCACTTTATTTCCTTGGTTTTGTATAATATATTTTTACTCTATACTGACTGTTTGCTGACTGGCTAATATTTCTCAAGGTCGCTTAAGATTCGTTCAACGTTCGTCCATAAATTAGAGTCTCGCCGAAAAATGTGTATATTGTTTGTAGATCATTAATATTGATGATCTATGCCGAATGATTGAGGATCTACTCGAGTTAGACAGGAATGGTGTGATGAACCAACGAACTTCGATGTCAGCATCTTACGTGAATTATCCCTTCGACATATCAAAGTATTATGGATGCTTTGAATATCGTACATCACAAAGGACGTTATTACAGCAATATATATTAGTTAAATTAGGTACAAAAGAAAAGTTGCTACCACCACTTCGTGGACCAGTCCAAGGCATACGATAATTTGATGTGAGTTAGTTGTCCTTGATTTTGACAGGGTTCATGATCTGTTCGATATTCAGTGATCCAACTGCTGGATGTATTGATTAGGGCTCAGTGATATTTCACTGGCCCTAAGTATTCAAATATCTAACATAACAGTTAGATTCGCTTGGTGTTGTTTTACTTGTATCTTCCCATTGTTATTTAGGACTGTAATTGATCACTCACTTGTTGGTATAGGATGAACACACGTTCTAGCTTCCACTGCTAGCCATTATCCATCTTTGCTTATAATAGTTAAATGTTTGTATTACTTCCTATATTCACCTCCTAATTAACTGCACTTTCTAAGTAATCGTCATGCTACCCAGTAATAATCATAGAATCCTAGTCCAATTTAACAATTCACCTGATGTTAATTACATTGAAGCGTCTAACTACACGGCTGAGATATGCATGAAACCGAAGTTTAAAAAACAACGATTTGTCTAAAGAAGGGTTATTTATTGTGGAATAAACACAAATGGATTATAAACCTCAACTCGTGACATATATATGTCAATTAACACACCTGTATTTGTGGGAGCAGAAAGGTTTCAAGAGCGTAAATGACAGCTGATAGCTGTGTTTAATGTTAACAATAGTTTGTTGTAGCAGTTCACGATGTCTAGCCAGAGGTTACTTAGTGTACTAGAGTAGTGTGCAGATTAGCGTTACTGAATAGCGTAAAGGTTAGACGATAACCCATCAAGCATACACAATGCACTTACATTCACTACAGAAAGCAATCAGAAATATTACAAGCCTTAGGTCAAGACAATTTTGGAATTGAAACTAGAAGCCGATGGTTTCACTCACTACAATATCAGTAACTAAAATGGCAACTAAGAGCATATAAATATGAAAACTGTTAGGTTTAAACAAAAGCTCAAAAGATGTACATAACTGGAATAACTGATAATAACTACAGTAAATACTTTGGGGGATGACACTAAAAATAAACTAGCACCAAGTCATCCGATTAGAAATTACTATAAATACAACCGTTTACTGAATATTAATAAGTAGTATAAAATAACAAACAAAATACAAGTCAAATTAGGCGAGAATATGGACAGGAAATGTAAGTGAACACCTAGTGTATTCTATTACGATTTGGATTGCAATGTTGCCACAAGTAACAATGTTTCGGTCGGATTTTCATTATTTAATCAAATCTTTCAAGATATATAAAGCTAGAATAGTGAGAAACGTAAGGATATTAAAATCGAATATGATGGGAAACTAATAATACCGTAGGTGCAGTGAAATATTGCCAAATCATAAGGCAATTGGGTCACTGAATATTGAACAGATCGTCGAACCCTGTCATGCTCAAGGACAACCAACTCACGTCAGTTAATCATATGCCATGAACTGGTCCATGAGGTGGTGGTCACAATTTCTCCTATGTACCTACATTAAATTATATATACATTGCTGTAATAATGGTCTTCGAAGAATCCATAGTACCTTGATACATCGAAGGGGCAATCCATATTATAATGCTGGCCGCGAGGTGTGACTTCGACGTCCATCTAACTCGAGTAGGCCACAAATAATTTCGACAGAGATCACCTACGTTGGCGATCTTCAATACAATCACAGTGACAGAAATGTAAACGGATGTTTCGCTGATTAGTTCCATCAAAGTAATGCCAACTTCCACAGTGAACTGATCGTGAAAACGACTGGGTACACTTCAATCTACTTTATATCAATAAGTAGTATGAATGACTCACAAAAAGTCAAACAGAATTTAAATATGATGAAAGTATCATAATACGATTCATTCGTAACCCCTGCCTC